GAAACCGCGTAAGCAAAGTGATTTATATCCTTAAACCATGAATACATTATTTATTGGCCACTGGGGGTGTATCAGAAACAAGCTAGTAAACACTGCACGGACATATTACCATCCTCTAAGTTGATGGCAAACTTGATTAGCAAACTATTGCTTTTTTCCACATCCTTCAGATACAAAGCATCATTAAAAGTAATACCTGTGACCACCTGATGAATGCAAGTCCAACGTATATTCTCCTTTTAGCTCCGTTTGGGATTTCACCAGACACCTGAGCCAAATATCTGTCTCTTTAGCCGCTAAATTCTCCACTATGTTTAAGAACTGCTTGCTTACTTACTTACTTACTTTCTTACTTTCTTTTTCCCTGGATGTTTTTTTAAGATAGGGAGAGTGTACAGTGCGTGTTTGAAGCTATTATTGCTGAAAACAGCTGCCTGCTGTGGCTGAAAACAAATCACAAAAGTTAAAGGTACAGGATGTAATACCATACAATGAGCCAAAATACACTATAAGGCATTGCCAAGCTGAGGGAAACTGCAGATAAACCGAGTGATAATTATATTTATTCATCATTAGGGCTGTGCCCTTTTACATATAAGTAGTTACATAAATATTTATGATTGAAGCCGCTCTTATAATTCTAAAGCTGCATGCATTTAGTTTTTCTCAATAAGCGCCTGTTGTGTCTTTTTATACATTCGCTGAGAATTGGATTGACAACGTGATGTAAAAGGTCTGTAGCAGGTGTCTAGTCCTGATAGGCCTTTGGCATTTCAGTCTCTCACAGTGAAGTCCTCTCTCCCTCAGAGAACAGATAACACCGAACTCCCCTCTCATCTCTGTGTGGGTCCTCAACATCCATGAAGGAGAAGAGGTACATCATCCTGTGCAAGCTTGCAACACACACATACATATTCATGCACTCGCACACAATGCTGTCCTTAGTTTTCACTCCCTCTCTTCGTTTGCACTCTCTCTCCCTCTCTCTCTCTAATCCTGTAATGCCAACACTGCAATTAGTGACATACTGGCTCTTTCTTTCATCACACTAGGGAGAGTGAACTCTGGAAGAATTCAAACTGTTTACTAAACTACGTAACTACGTAACCCACGTGAGTAAAACACAAACATGCATATAAAAACGTTAAAAAGAAAGCCAACTTGTGCTTTTCTGACTTAAAAATGTCCTTCATTGTAAAAGTGACAGGCACCACTGCTTTAATTGCTCTCAAAAGTCCCGTCTGCTTTGAAAGAAATGATTAGCGACGTTGAAAATGAAAAGGCCATTCAGCCTGAATGTGAAGTAAAGGTGAACGAAGGACAAGCTCAGAGCTGACTAAAGAGAATCCATCTAAAAATGATAGTCCCTTAGTGCTTCTTTATGTGCTCTTCCATGGCCTTCTAAATAAGTGTCTATATCAAAACCCACTCACAAACAACCGCAAATCCAAACTACATGAAAGTGAGCTGTGATAGAGACTTGAATGAGAACAAAAGCTGATAGGATGGCAAAACAGAGAGAGAAAAGCCGCCCCCACACTCAAGTTAAACAGCCATGTTGTGAATTTGAATGTATTTTCTGCACTCTACAGTTAAAGTAATTTTGCAGCGCCTGAAGCGACAACCTGACAGTGAGCAGCTGATTCTATACATGCCAGTACGGAATAAATGGTGCATGTTGCCGTTATATGGATGGAGAGCCCAGGGTTATCACTTTCATGCAGGTTATCCTGTGTGTCAGCTAAAAATCAATCTCCTTTTATCAAATAAATCCCCTCCCGGAGATATCACCTAATACGACTGGGACCACCGATGAATATGTCCACATTAAACACTGATTTTCAACACTGTCGAATTGAATTTGCATTGGTGTGTGCAAGTGGGTGTGTGACAGACAGAGAAAGAGAAAGAAAATGTACATGTAATTCAGCACTGACTGAGGGTGTATCTGGTAATAAAATGACTGGCTTTCTCAACTTTTTTTATCTTCTAACATGCTGGACTTAAACAAACCCCATCATGTTGCAAAGCAGATTTAAGCTGTTATGTAGGACATTTATGGAGATACGAATATTAGATTCACTGAAGAAAGAGATGTGAAAATCGATATCACTCATGTTTGCATGCTTGGTACAATGCTTAGATTATCAAGCATAAAGATTGAGAGCAAGGGGGGAAAAGCTGGCTTGTCTCTACATGAAAAAAACACCCAACACTCATTGTCATACCATGTTAGTTATCTGTACACATGTCACTCGCTCCATAATGAATGCACAGACACGAGACTGAAATAGCAAATAAAAGGGCATTTGCCAAAACGTTAAACCATATCTGAAACCTCACCTTGCATTATAGATGCATTAAGTGAGATACAATATTAACATCATTTAAACAAGTGTGATTGCTTTGGCAGTCAGTACTAATGAAACAATGATTATGTCAGGTGCTGAGTTTCCTACTTTTCAAAAGCTTAAATTTGAGGCATTTCACAGTCATTTGCATTTACTAAAACAAAAGTACCTATGTGCTACCCTGAGGAAACACATGCAATCTAAATCCACTCAAGCGGAAGGATGATGCGTTATTATGTTGTGATCAATAATGCCAGACAGAACATGTTATTACTTACGGTCCATTTTTAAACAGAAATGACACACACACACACACATAATAATAATTATGAATATGTGTTGCTTTTCTTGGTTTGATGTTATAGTAAGGTGAATATCTTGTGAAGCCACATTGAGCTTCAGGAAATTGTGACAGGCATTATACTTCTTTCTTACATTTTATATAATCATCATGAATATAATCTGCAAATTATTGATAGGAACACATAATTTATTGCAGACATATTGCATTTCACTATCCTTTCCCTTGATGTTTATGTTGAATCTCTGCTCTAATTAGCTGGAACATTTATACCCCAGTGAAAGTTACTGTTCTGTCCATTACAGAATTTGTATCCCAGAGCCATTGATGTTGATTGAAAGTCTTTGGTGATTGATAGAATTTCACACAAGACGAACATTTCTTTAATGACTGTGTAAGTGCTTTGGATAAGCAGTGTGTGTGCACGCGTGTGTGTGTTCGTTCAGAGTAAAGAAAGCGGCTGACACCTGACTAATTAGCCAGCTGAGGCAGCCAGTATTCCTGGTGTAGCCTTGGGCCACAGTGCACTGCATCCCTCTGCTTTATTCAATGCCCTCTGGCTAAAAACAACAACAACAACAACAAAATCTCAATTCGCAAAAGAGAGGAAGTTGTTTCTGGAGGCTGCTGTCTGGCAACCATTTCATGCACTTCAAAAGAGGGCGTGGGAATAAAAACAGACCAAATTGTTGCCCATGGACATGCAGTGATAAAACAGCTTCTCGCCTACATGGGCAAATCTGAACCCTCTCTTCCTGCTCTTACTCTCACCATAGATTTTCTCCCACTCATTTTCATATTTTTCTGTCACATAATACACAAACATATATCTGCTATTCACAATGTATTTCTCCTGCTCTTCAAACCATGTGTGGTAGCTGCAGCAGGGCTCACAGGTTAGGCCACCGTTCTCTAAAAAGAAACTCCACAGAGAGAAGCAGCACGAGGAAAAGGGCCGCAGGGAAAAACAAGCCAATGACCACTTTTGGTCAAAAGCTGCAGCAGTCAGCACCGCAGCCTAAAATTTAATTTCCCCTAAAAAACAGCTATCCTCTATGCCTTTGGCTGCCTATTTATAGCATGTTATCGTTCAGCCTCAATCAGAACTGAAGACAGTCATTGCTAGAAAACAGCATGGAGCTCCTAAGAAACCAGAAGTAGCTCATCAGATGTGTAATGTACAAGCTGATGTATTGAGGAGGACAGAGAGGAGACAGAGGAAAATGGCCTGTCTCTTACAGTTTATGCATTTTTCCTTCTATATATCTCCATCAAATCAATACTGTCAGATGAGGTCATGGTTTAAGTCCAGAGAAACAATGCCAGTGTTCAAGCATGCCATGACTTCATGATAACATCAGAGTTTTCATTTTCCCGTTACACCATGGCCTCTTCTCAAATGCTCTTTGTCCCTTTAACTGACAACTTTTATTTTCTAGGGTCTAGTTGTGCTTTGCAAACCTGTTCCCTGAACGTAGGCCTACTGCATTGTTTATGCTGAAAAACAACATAAGTGAGCACAAAAGAAGCAGAAAGAAAGGAGTTCTTGCAACTGCAAACAAGTCTTGACTGTGGGTGGCCAGTGACCAGCAAATCATGTATATAATGTGCCACTTCAGTTATGCTTTGCTCATGGCATTGAGCTCAGCTAGCTGTGGAGATGTCACTGGAAAAACTGATAGAAAATACGGGGTCTTGTGCAGAGTTGGGTATGTTGGGCACCTGCTCCACTTATCCACAAATACTCTATGACAATTTAATACCCAAGCCTGGATTACCTCAAATGGCTGTGTGTCACCTGGTTTGTCCTTGCATGGGAATATGAAAAATGAACACAGAATATCAACTGACATGATGAGGGCCTTAAGTACAGTAGTTTGAAGACCACAATAATAGTATTGAGATTATTTGTAACATCTCTCTAATTGTCATTCAGCAAATCTGGGTCAAGTAGAGAAAAAAACTAACAAAATGTGGAGGGAATGTATCACAAGTCACTACCACACATAACTCTAATTTACAATAATTACATTTTTTTCTTTTCTTTTTAAGATTCATCACTTATTCATTAGCTTACAAAAACAAGCTGCTCCAGCCGCTTCAACAAGCCTCCCTCTGCTGCTCATTCTGACAAAAGTCAATACCTCAATGCTCTACGATAGTGCCAAGTTCTTAAAAGTTGTCTGATAATTAAAATGTATTTGCTGTCTTTAACTGCGTAGCAGGCTGATATCTTGAGTTGAAGAACATCGTATCAGTAGCCTGTTTATAAGACTTCAAGGGAACATCAGTGTGCACAATGGTAAAGGCGAAGCCTTCATTATGATACACACAACACCCTCACTCACCTCTCCTCCATGGCCATCAAAAATCCCAAAAATAGAGGGGTGACTCTTGTTGACGATGTCGCTGAGCACCTCGAACCGGTCCTCCATGTGCTCTCGCCGGCCTTGGATGGAGTACACGGCCACGTTGCTGCTCTTGAACTCCCATGTCTTGGAGAACTCCGCGTCCAGGACGTCCAGCCCTCCGAACCGCTCGTTCTGCATCATCTCCGCCACTTTCCCCTTGACCATCTTGACCGCATCCCGGCTGGACTTGACGATGGTCTTCACTTCGTCCGTGTGGAAGAAGTAACTCCACAGAGCCAGGCTGATGCACAGCAGGAACAAGGTCTCCGGTCTGAGCAGAAAATAACGCATGATCCGACCTAACAGAGACAACAGGGTCATTGTATCCTCTATCATCTATTTATTTACATGTAGGAAATCTGCGGCAGGTTGTGTGTCGCTCGCCCCCGCTGCAGGTTCAGTCCATTGTCGTTGGTGTAAGTGTTTTGGTATCGGCAAAACAGACGCATAACCCAGCGTTTGAAACCTGGACTCGTAAAGAGTATACTGTCAAGGGACACCTTAATTCGTTTTGTAACCGGACACAGCAGGCAGGAGGTAAGGTGTACACAAACCGGGGGACGAACACGGTGCTCCGGCGGTTCTCCCTCTAGCTTGCAGCCCTGCAGTGAGCCACCAGCGGCTCTCCGTGCACCATCTGATGCGGTCCGAGAGCACCGACTACCCCGGGCAGACAATGCAAGTCCTCCGTTCAGAGTTCAATTTAAGCCCGTGTGCTGGCTGGAGTAGGGCCGTGGGCAGAGTCTCTTCTTGGCCAGCGCCGCTACTGCTCCTCGTCCTGAAATAGCGGTCTGTGTTGAAACCAACACATTCCCAGCTGCCACACTGGCTGCGACTCTCTGCTTCTGACTGACTATTAAAGCGGAGTGATGCCTTCAGGTGCAGCTCGGAATCTCCCAAAAACAAAAGAACTTCAGAGGTGCCACTTTAATTTAAATATCTTGTATTATGTGGTGATAAACAGAGCAGGGAAGTAATCAAGTATATTTACTCAAGTAGGCTACTGTACTTAAGTACAATTTTGATGGACTTGTACTTTGCTTGTGTGATTACATTTTTTGCTACTTTGTACTTCTACCCTACTCAAATTCTGAAGTTAAAAGTGTAATTTTACTCCACTACATTTATTAATACATTTAGTAATTTAGCAGATTTGGAATGAATTAATTAAATTTAATCAACACTTAACCACTCTTCCATAAGTGAGTCAAAAAGGACCTGTATTAGAATAATATGTGTTTGTATGCCATTTTTGTCATTTTGGTTAAGAAAAATCACTTGTATAATATATAGTATTATATTTTGGTTCACACTAGAAATATTTTATATTTAATTTTTCACTATTTATAATTTTAGACATTTTTTTTACATTTTGAACAAAAAACGAAATTCCATAGAAAATGCATGCGGGTCATTTTTGACCCACTTGTGGAAGCTTGGGGTAGTAATACAAAAACTACAATGTAAATGTAAATTAAAAATTTGAATGGCATGATATCCAAAACATGTTTTTTGAGGAATAGCTGGAATATGAAATGATAAAAAAATGTAATTACAAAGATACTCTAAGAAAGCCACCTCACCGGGTCAAAAAATACCCACTTATGCATCTAAGGGTTAAATAACACTTTAGTTACATCTGGAGTAACATTCACAATCTAACCTGCAGTATACAAAGTCATTCAAATTAGTTCCACCTTTAAAAGCTGTGATAAACACATTATTCTATCAATAATTATAATGAAAACATGTAATATAAATAATTCGGAAATGGGCCAATCTGCATAAGGATTACTTTACTTACTTTTGGAACTTTAATTAGATTTTGATGCCAATATTTTTGTGCTTTTACTTAAGTAAGATAATACAGGTATTTTACTTGTACAAGAGTATTCCTGCTCTTTGGTATTTCTACTTTTACTTTAGTACAAACTCCACCTATGTGAATATATGAGATGTGTTTATAAAGAATCTCCTTTGTCTCCATCGGGTGTTATTTAAATAACACAATTTACCACGGGTGGAAGTAATAAAATACATAAATACAATGTAAACATACGTTGTTTTAAGCAACAGCCATGCATTTAAAACCTTCACTACTGCTTAAGTAAAAGTACTAAACTATTAGATCAAAATGTACTAAGGAATCAAAAAGAATATACTCATACTCATTATGCAGAAGGGCCCATTTCATATACTTTATATGATATTATTTGAATCAAATTATGATGCTCAATGTGTTCATCCCTTTTTTATGTTGCAATTGTTAGAGATGGAACTAACTTTAATGTCTCTTCTGCTGGGTAATCTTTGATAATGCCATACATAAAGAGGTATCTAATTGTTTGTTAACAGACAATAATACTTTAACCATACATGTAAGACACATCTTTCATGCATATTGTAGATTAACAGTCACATCCTGCTGTGCCTGCTGGTGTAGCTGTAAGTATTCCCACGTTTCCTTTATTTCATGCACTGAATACATGAGCATTAAAGTACGCTCGTTTTAGTTTAGATATTTCCGACAGCACTTGAAGACATCCAGAGAGCTGGGTTACCACAGGTGCGCACCGAGTGAAGGGATTCTTTCTAAAAAGCAAAGGCCCAATTTTGCAAATGTCCTTGAATAATTGGCATTGTCAAATAAATAATCCCCCTGAGTGCTAAATTATTAAAAGTGTGACTTCACTGGATCCCCGGACATTCACGCTTGGTGCCTTTATGTTTTTTCATAATATTATTGACAAATCAACGTCTTTTTTAAGATGGTGCTTTAAAAGCTGATCTTAAAATGCTGTTTGCATAAGTGTCCGTTAAAGACTTCACATCTTCATTATTTCATCTGGTTTTGAATTTAAATGATACATTTTAAAACTATGTTCTATATAATCTACACATCACACTGCAAACCTCATCTCATGTGATTTCTACCACAAGCATAGTGCTCCATTATCAGAGAGTGTGAGGACTCATGGGTTAGGGGCCAGCAGCTAATTTTTGCTCCATAAACCCCAAGTACCTAGAATTGTTAAGATTAACAGATCTGTAATGTGAATTGAGAGGTGTCATAGATGATGAAACAGTAACTTTATTAAATCCAATATGATGAATTAAGTCAAATAGATGCTCGACTCACATTACAATGATATTGTTGCTGAAACGATTTGCAAAAAGGTCCAGGTGGTGAGCTTTCAAACTAAGCGACCTTGGGTCTCATGAAAGGCGCTATATACATCCAAGTTATTATTATTATTAAGCTAAATGAAATGTTACACCAATCTTTTGTCTGTCCTCCTCGTAATGGTTATATAGCCTAATATGGTATGCATTTCTCGAAAATGTATATTATTATGTTTTATTTATTTAAGGGTAGGCTATACCTTTATATCTAAATAAAACATTCAAAAATAATTTTCTCTCCCTTTTTCCTTCCGTTTTCTTAATTGTCTTTATTTATTTTTTATTTTGTTTCTGATATTGAATAATTGTATGTGGGCCCTCACTGTTGTTGGCTGGAATAATTAATGCCATCATTTAATGTTTTTTTAAGGAAATGTGTTCAGGCAAACAAAGACAGCCCGGGGTCCTCTCGTTCTGCGTGACGTCACCAAGCCTCTCGGTCCTCGGTAAGGAAAACGTGGACGACTTCACTTCACGCTGTGTTGTGGATATACCATCAAAAACACTTCAGTAAGTGTTGTCATCCCAGGTTTGCAGTTGTTGTAGTTATCAAATACGTTTGTTTGACATGTTGTGCTTGTTTTTCACGAATATCTTTTAGAATTACTCGTAAAAACGGGCAAATTAGCCCCGAATGCTAACCGTGTGATACTGGATGTGTAGCATCAGCTAGCAGCTTTAGCTTCAGAGCGTGCACAGCATCTCTTTAATGATCTAATGTCGCTGTCTATGTTTTTACAAGTGTTTACAACAAACTAATAGTATTATGTACCTGCTGTAATGAATAATGTACGTAGTTGGTACACACTGCTCGCTTCTTGCTACTGTTGGCTATTCTCCAGATGTGTTACTGTTAAAGCTGTGCCAGTATAATCTTTCCTGTTTCTGTCCTCAGACATCATAAAGATCCACTGAACTACACTGATCTGTGAAGTTGACAAGAATGGAGTACGTTGAAGCCCCTGCCACAATCAGCCAGGCAAATATGTAAGTGAATAAATATAAATAGTCTTCTAATCACAATGTTCACAATGTGTAAACTAAGTGCATCACATCTTTGCCTTATTGACAGATGTTGTCTTTGGTGCTTACTAAGACTGACATCTCGAATGTGTACATTTACAATAAGTTTATAGTGGTGAATTTCCATTTTTGGGATAATTGTCTAATTATCTTTACATGTGTTACTGAAAGAGCTGTCAGTTCACTAAGATGGTAGAGCCTGATTTAAATACTTACAGGAATTATAAAGCAAGAAAGATCAGACGCACACAATGTTACTATTTGCAAGTTATTTATCTTGAATTTATGCAGCTGATTCATGTTAACGTTATTTTAGCTAGTTACATTGTTTATTTTGTATTAAAAAGGATGTTCACTAAAAATGGATGTCTGATTCATGTTAACGTTATTTTAGCTAGTTACATTGTTTATTTTGTATTAAAAAGGATGTTCACTAAAAATGGATGTCTGATTCTTTACTTAATTTTAGGTAAATTGTTTGCAGTGTGTTTCATTGCCATATTAAGAGCTTTAGTCATATTTTATGTTAATCAGGATAATATTGTGAATTGCAATTCTTTAGGCCAGGAAAATTTGTTTTCACATTGTTTTATTGGCACACTATTTCAGTTGACAATAATAATTTAAAGAGTCAACCTGAGTGAGTTTGAATTTCGCTATCTTAATTTTGGGGGGTTTTCAACACCGAACAGTAGTGAATTCCTGTACAATCTTTCTGCATCAGGAGAAATGTAGCACAATCAGCAGGAATGTCAACATTTCTGGGAGACAATAAAAACTGATTTTCCTAGAGGTGTAAAATGCCATGTCATTTGTTTATTTCATTACGTTTTACCAACGTTGCCTTTCCCCCCCCCCAGCCTGTGCTGTACCTGTGGCGTCCCCATCCCTCCCAACCCAGCCAACATGTGTGTGGCCTGCCTGCGCACTCAGGTGGACATCTCAGAGGGGATTCCCAAGCAAGTCACTGTGAACTTCTGCAAGCAGTGTGAAAGGTTTGTTTAATCCTCTCTTCTTCTTTTTTTAAACCACAAATCAAACGGACATTTAACTACATGATACACAGATAACATCAATGCTTCTCTCTAGAAAGAAATATATATACGGGTACAATTGTTTTTGAGTAAGTTGAGGCTTAAACACTCATCTTCCTCTATCATGCAGGTACTTGCAGCCTCCGGCCACCTGGATGTCGTGTGCCCTCGAGTCCAGGGAGTTGCTCTCTCTTTGCCTGAAGAAAATCAAGAGCTCTATGACCAAAGTAAGTGTGCTTCACAATCGACAATAGTATATTTGCACTTAAATTAAAGAGACAAAAGGTTGCATGAATAGTCTAGGTATAAGTTCGAGGTTGTCCTTTCCTTTGTCATTCAATTGTAGTTTTAATTGTAATGCTCTCAATTCCATCTTGCTACTGAGCAATGAGCATACTTATTTTATGGTTAAAAATAAATAAATAAAACCTTGCCATATATTTCATCAGAGCCTCTCGTATGATGCTGCCTAAAACAATATAAGAATTTATGGCCTTGAAAACAGTTAACATTGTAGTCTCTTTTGTCATGGATAATATTGTCCAAATATTGTTTTCAGAACATGTACAGTATCTGACTTTTCACAAT